AGAGTCGACAGTCAAAACAAGGTCAGTTTCACTATGTCTGGTCTTTCGTCCGCCACCATTCTTACATTCACCCGTTCACTTATAGATTCTGCAAGCCAAGAAAACCGACTATCGTTCTGAGTTGTTCGCCCGCGCCATTAAAGCCGGCACAGAAATGCAGGCAACTAACAGGAAACTTCTGCTTCGCATGCGATTGTGCGTCTTTTCAACGTTGTAGCTGCTTAGGTTACTGACGTTGAATTCTCTGACAGGCAGCAAGCAGATCTCATCGTGAAGCCACCAAAGGGAAGCGCTCACCCAACCCAGATACTCGAGTTCTTCCAAGGCCCAGAATGAGCATTGTAACATCTTTATCTACTGCTATCATCACTCCCCGTCGTTGCTATTTGCATTCATCCTGTATCGCTATCTTTCTGGAATTCGAATCGATGAAGTTTCGAGTCCTTTTGTTTTGTATCCTTCTTGCCGACAGTCAACTTGCCAATACATTGAGAAAGCGAAGCTTGTGGGAATATGTTCACACCCTGTGTCTTGCGGCATCAGTGATTATGACTACATGTGTCCTGGGTTACTTTGCGCTTCTCTTCCTGTAGGGTGGACAAGATGAACATACTCCAAACCTCTATATTCACTATTTGGCTGAGGCCCTAAACGGCGGACTCGTCATCGTCGTGAGCGAACCCACTACTTTCGTTGGTAAATCCAGATGCTTGCGCAACAGAAGGTGACAACTATTAAGTATATAGAAACCAACATCATGCAGGCATGTGAAGGGAATAATAAGCTACTTGACAAGGCGGATGCTCTATACCGTCCATAAAACCCATTATATTACACAGCAACCAGGTCATAGAACCATACTACGATCATGCTTAACCCCCACCGAGTCTGCTCTTGTTGATTTGTTCGGCATACGTTCCCAGATAGGGTCAACGTCGGGTCCTTCCAAGTCTCCAGCACCATCCCATCCCCAACACCAGACTGTTAAGCGAAAGAATCAGTATGTGCATTGCTGGAGACATGATGAACGCACCGTGTTCAGGACCTGGAACGAACCCAAGGGGTTCACCTTCTTCGTCCGTGAATGTACGATCGTGGGGGCCAAACCACGCTCGATCTTGTGGGTCAGTACGAGGGTCGTCGGGAAGACCACCGAGGCGGACATATCCCCGGATAGCTGTCAAGTTCCGTCTCAAAGGATGTATGATATCATACACTTTCTGTTGGGGAGTTAGACATGACATTGGACCAAATTTCGCTGAACTTACGCTATCATAAGCCAATTTAACTCTGGGAACCATCAAGATTCTTCCATAGCCAGCCTCCCAATAGTCGTTGCAGATCAAACTACACTCGCTGGCACTACATTCGCCTTCTGTGATTTTCGCCATGCGGAAACGTACATGTGGCGGGGAATAAAAAGGAGCTGGGTCCAAGACTGCAATTCCGTTCCAGCACGATTGAACTTGGACGGGCAAGTGCCGCTGGAATCGTTGGGAAGACTCTAGATGGTGGAAGATTCGCTCGAAAGGTGCATTTTCCAAAGCTGTCCCATTGATGTCTCGTGCAACCCAATTGTCGTAGAACACAGGGGAGGCAATCTCCTCGTGATACATGTAATCTGCGGCGCAAGTGATGCCGGCATTGTTCCTGCGACTTTGCCATATAAGCTCCAGGAGATCATCAATGCATGGCAGGATATCATTCATAAAAATGATGGAGTCGAAATATTCTCCTTCTGTGTCGCGAAGCTCATGGAGGGGTACGAAGGCTGAATTCCGAACCTCGGCAAGATATTCGATACGATGGTTAAAAGCGCCACGAGTGCGCATAGATGTGCGGATCATGACACGCATACCGACACTTCTGGTCAAAGCGTCGAAAATTCGGAGAAGGGCCTTAGTCTGGTCGGTTGAACCATTCTCATAGATGGAGACGAAGACGTTGTGGTACCCGAGGATGGCTGCAACGCGGAAAAGGGTGGCGAAGAGGTCAGGAATCACGTCGAATGAGTTGTAGAGGTTGATAGCGAAGAAGTATTTGTGTTCGCTGGCTGCGAGATCCCGACGAACGTTTTGGCTGTGCAAATCCTCATCCACACCGAGCAGACCAGAGAGCCATGAGCCTCCCTTAGGTGTGCTGTGACCCACAAGAGGTGCATAGCGCTCCAGAGCTTGTTGGGCATACAACGGTTGGGAGTTCCGCGTGCATTCTTTGGTATAATGGGGCGAGAGACTCGTAAGGAGATCAAGGACCCGCGCGCGTTGATCGAGTGTCGGTAGTTGTATAGGATGGCGAGTTTGCTGCCGAGATTTAGATGGTATATGTCCACTTCGCCATACGGGCGTAGGAGCCTATGTGCAAAGCATGAGCTATCATTCCACACAAGTATGTATGCCACTCCTAGACTGAGGCGAAGGCGTAGCATAGACTCAATGTCCATGAACCAACCCTGTTCCCGTCCCGTTGTATGAATGATAGCTTCACTCACTGAGGTCCAAGGTATTACTCGCCCAACAAGGAAACCGAAGAAAATGCCAATAGCCAAGGCTACTGGTGTCGGTATCCGGCGCAATTGGTGCGAAAGACCAGCCTTTTGCATAGGTGAAGCTCCCATACGCTAGTCGGCCGTAGCTTCACGGAGAACCTGTTTGACGGGGAAACAAGAGAGGTGGCGGTTGTAAGCAAAAGACCTTTTAGGAAAAATCCAAACAACCCCTGAAAGCTGGCGGAAACAGAATTTCAACTTTCTTCCTGCTTCCGATTCCATTCAAGGCTCTTGCCGTCGTATGCAACGTCGACCAGCTCGAGGACAGGCACACATTTCGCCACCGGTCCAAGATCACGCCAACATGGGTTCGGACTCGGAGAAATCCTCCCGTCTAAATCAGAGCAGCTTTGGCGTCAAGAACCGTATCTGGATGCTCATTGTGCTGCTCATTTTCATTCTTTCATTCACTCATTTCATATGGCCGATATCTGGGAGCGGAACGGTCGTACAGAACTACTCAAATGCCGACTTGAAGGCCAAGAATTACTTCAATGTCACGGAGGCTGGCCCCAATCCATTTGCTTTTTGTCCGAATTACGGGCCAGGCGATGACCTGGGAACGAAGTACGGCCAACTAACGCTGTCGAAGAGTCGACATCACTTGGGAAGTGGTGCTCGAGTGCAGCGAATTCTGAATCGAGCGCTCGCAGGTCAGCCAGTGACGATCAGTGTTCTCGGTGGTTCCAGTGCGTTTTGTTGGTCTTCACTGTCGTCTTTTCACTCACAGAATCCTTAGTATCTGCTTGCCATGGCGCTGGAGACGACCCAGTATCACCCAAATGCTATCCTTCCAAATTCTTCCAGTGGTGGAATACCGTGTTCCCACATCCAGCTTCAGAGCTCACAAACGGCGCAATGAGGCGCACTGACTCCGGTTATTTCGGTTACTGCAGTTCTCATCACCTTCCAGACGTGACAGATTTGGTTATAATTGAGCTCGACACAGATGACCCTCCGTGCGTATCATGTCTTCCTTCTTACTTCAATTCTGACTTCCAACAGTGGCAAAGAAATGATGGAACACTTTGAGATCCTTGTCAGGTCCATCCTCATCCGTCCAGACCAGCCAGCAGTATTACTGCTGGGACATTTCAGCCCGCAAGTGCACCAGACACATGGATTCGCAGGCCCAGACCACTGGCACAACATCGTAGCTCAGTTCTACGACCTGCCCCACGTCAGCATAAAATCCGCCATTTTCCCAGATTACATGCGAGACCCATACTCCGTTAACAAATACTACGTCGACCCCATTCTTGCTAGTGTGCAAGGACACGACTTGATCAGCGATATTCTCGTTGCATACTTCCAGTCACAGATCTGTACGGCCTGGTCGGTGGCACACGGGGCAGCGTTTGATGCTGTGCCTGCGCATACTCCCGGAGATGACTCTCATGGCCTTTTCGGTGGTGTCGGGCAGAGGAAGGGTGTTCCTGAACCCGGTGCTAAAAAAGCGGCAGACAACAAAGAGGGTTTGGACGCGGAAGGCAACCGACTAAAACCTGATCCGCTTTCGCCCAAAGATGCGCCTCATGCCCTGTTTACAGTTCCCCCAGGAAGGATTAACACTCTACCCAACTCGGCTCGGCCTTACGAGGAAGTGGCTCCCTTCTGCGTGTCTGCGAACGACCTCATCAACCCCCTACCGCCCTCCCTTTTCTATGGGTCTGGCTGGTTTGCGTATCACCCAGCGTCATCGGGCGGAAGCTCGCTCCAAACAGCCGCACATTACTGGTACTCGTCACTCCCTACGAGCAAGCTGAGAATACCTATTCAAGTAGGAGCGGGCGACATCGGGATTTATTACCTGAAAGAGCCTGTTGCTCATGTCGGGGAAGGAAGCTCTGTGGAATGTTGGGTGGATGACAACTACAATGGAGCAAAGGTTATCGAGAACGCAGCTGATGTCGGCGAATCAACGCCTGCGTACGTATATCTGTCTCTTCTCCAAAAATCTTGTCTCATATATATCACAGACATCAAGTCATCGACCACTACGTTTCCCGTGGATCACATTTCGTCGAATGTCAATTGCTGGGCGAAGAAGGTCAAGGCGTCCCCATGTTCAAAATCATCGGCATCTTCTCGACATAGTTGTTTATGGCTGACTTACTTACTGATGGGTAGCCGGTTCGTGGATGATCATAGATTTATCATCAAGCTTTCCTAGGACCCCATTACTGTCAACTATCTTCGTGATCCTATCTACTACACGACGGAAACTGGGTAGATCACGGTAGAGTGTGGCAGTTGTATATTGTATGGACGTTAGCCTGTTCCAGGGAGACCTAGATTAATTATTTTGCCTGGTAAATAATATGTTGCTGTCGCAATGTTTTGATCACTACACATCGCGGACAAAAAATATTCAAGAATGGCCTACTTACTACTACATACAATACAGTAGATACACTACGAACGGAGATATCAGGGATGTTAAAAGCAAAAATGGACACTGAGGGATTTGAACCCTCGACCTCGTGCAATTCACAACGTTTGTGCAAAGCAAGCGCGCTACCCCTGTGCCAAGAGCCCAGATGATATTGTCTCATGTTACGACATTATGATCCGCCACCATAATTTGACAGCTTCCAGTGATCGTAAATTCATGTGAGAAAGTGTGGGTGTCGTCTTCACAATGAACTGCCCCGCTCTTTCATGTCATCTGGCGGATAATAGAGAAATGACACTCACGTGCATCTGGGATGGGAGAAGTAGGGGCATAGGATGCGCACGCATATGTGAATGGACATACTGGCAGTGGGTATCCTCCGTATGGTGTACGGTGAGCAGTACCAGAACCCAGCGATCTGACATGCGCTTGACGCCTACTTAGTAAGTAGGCGTCAAAAAGTGTTTGTAACCGGACCATGGCTTGATTACTAGTGAAGCATGGTGATGGCTCGGGCGTATTATCTGCCTTCCATCTCACTTAGTCGAATGTGAACAACATTGGGCTGCAATGAACTCAATGGGGACTTCCAGAATAAATTTCATGAATGACAAGCCTTCGGTTTCGTATCCATTCCAAGATCCACAGTATTCGCTCTAACTGCACCCAGCACGCGGAACAGAAAATCAGTTAGACTTCGATGGGTTGTCTTGCTGAATATACTTGGAATCGGTACAGATCAGAAATTCAAGGTGCTCAAGGCCATGAATATATAACCCGAGGGATGAACACAAATCGGAAGACGTGTTGCGGAAACCTGTCTGTGAATCTCATGTGCAGATAGCGACAGTGTAGCGGTGCAACTGAAGGAGTCGTGAAGCCGAGGGCATAGTAGAGCTTCAGCCCAGTCGCGTACTTTGAGTCAGTCGGTAGTTTCTGCATAGCAGATGGAGCTGGAGTGAGATGGCTCCGCATTCGAACCAGAAGAGCCAAATCGCGGAACCAGGACATAATATCAGTAATCATATACAAGCCTGAAAGCAGAGGTTGTCAAGAACAGTGCATGGTAGATCAGCGAGAGGGTAGCAAGAGGGTAGACTGATTCAGATAACGGAACAGGAAACAACTTGAATCAGATTAGCATGCTGGCATACTAAGTATCTGCATCAGCATATGCGCGAGGTCATGGCGGAATATATTGCAGTTGTCGAGTCACAGGACAACATAAAAAAAAGCAAGAAACAGCCATGCGAAGGTTATGACTCCGAGTTCAAGTATTTCTTGAGGGTGATTCTGTCGTCGCGATACGGCTAGTGTTGTGAGGATATCTTGTAGTCACATATCAAGAAGAAACCAGTAACTATTATAGAAAATTATAGCCGTGTAGCCGTGGCTAGTAGATTTCAGGGCGTATCAAGTCCAGAATATAGATGTACAATGTCGCGATGTTTTCATGGGCTCTTGGCACAGGGGTAGCGCGCACGCTTCGCATTAATTCGTGACTTGCGTGAGGTCGTGGGTTCAATTCCCACAGTGTCCACTTTTTTCTCCGTCAGGGAGAAACAGATCAGAAGCCCACAACCTCTTATACTAAAGTGGAGGTATTCGATAGCACAACTCGACTTTTTGTGCCAACCCCTGAAATTGGTAGCTTGGACTACCGCTTTACAATGGCTGACAATCCTCGTTAGCGCACTAACATAACAGCCCTTACCAATACTACTGCGACAATTTCTGTCGACTGGATAACTCAAAAGATCGGCTGCTTGTGCTACTCGATTCTTGCGTAGACTTTTATCAGGGCTTAACATTTCATGTTAGTGGCTGTTCCGACAGAGGCATAAGCTATATCCAGTACCCCAGGCCGACTCGAGCGCCATTGGGAATCACAGACTCTCAGGGCTCTTGGCACAGGGGTAGCGCGCACGCTTCGCATTAATTCGTGATTTGCGTGAGGTCGTGGGTTCAATTCCCACAGTGTCCATTGGTTTTTGTTCCTCCTTCAAAGGGAAGCAGTTTTGAGCCTTGTTACTAGAAGAGCTGTGGACCTTAAAACTTCAATACTTTGCGCATTCATCGACGTTGGTAATGAAAATGAACGAGAAGCAACGGCTGCACATCCAAATACCCACGACGTGTTAGTCAACCTGAAAATTCACTTCGAAGATGCCTCCTGACGAAGCAGAGAAGATTTCAGGTAATTCTCTCGCGTATTTGAGAGTGTGTGGCACGCATTCCGCAGATAGGTTACGTTGGTGAAAAAAAATGCACAAGCTCGACATAATATTGAGAAGAGGATAATCCGACAACAGCAAAATACTGGAGCCCGAGGGTGGCTTGCGACAATAGCTGAACGTTAATCAATGGCCAGTCTATGTAGGATATGCATTCACAGAGAGACTGATGTAATCAATCATCAATCCACCCCAAACTATCCATCCAAGCTGACCATTACGATTGAAGTTTTCTAAGCGAGCGCTTAGCACGACAAGAACGCTCAAGAGTAAAGGAAAGCACGTACTCCAACAGCTGCTCGGAATGTTCAAATCGACAGTCATATATTGCCACACAAAGTGCGTGGCGGTTCCGCCAACCGAGAGGACGAAGTACGCAGGGCCTTGGCTGTTAAGGTAGCCGGCCATTGCGAGCATCGCAACAAAGGTTAATCCGCATCCTACGAGGAGTGGGCGGATCCATGTCCCAAAGAGGATTGCCGTTGACCGAACCCCCATCTTCACGTCATCTTCGATGTCCTGGCAAGCATAAATTGTGTCTGAAGCCCTGCGTTAGTATAAACAGATCAGGTCCTTACGTCTCTAGGCGCCGACAAACCGTAGAGCATTGTCCAGCTAAGGGAAGGAGACTTAGGAGACCATTTCTTTATGAACGAAAAGGAACGCACCACCAGCAGCCTAAAATAGAGATCCCAAGGAGGGGTCCGTCCACAGCGCCGGTGATAGCAATCCATGCAGTTATTAAACCAAAATTCATTGCAAATCCGAGCCACGCTTGAGGCCAGTGCGTCCATCGTTTGAGGAGGGGGTAGATCGCAAATCTGATGTCATAGTTAATATCGACTATTTGCGCCCTGTTTGTCACGCTCACAGTGGCAGCAGTTGAAAGAGGGCAACCCAGAGACTAAGAAAATGATCGGTGAGTTGCAGAAGGGTTAGATATCATTGCTCACGCGAGATCATGCACTGTGAGATAGAAAAACACTATACCAACAGCGTATTGCACCAACAGAAATATAGTGGCAGCAGGGACAGATATACGGCCGCTAGCCATTGGCCTGTTTCGAGTCCGTTCTTAAAGATCATGAGGTCTCAACGATAGTTCCTTTGTTCACGAAAGCATGAACGCACCGACGCCTGCGTCCATTTTGCGATCAAAGATATCATTGATAGTACAAGCAGAGCTTCGCAAGATAAATGCCCAAAGCAAACATTTGAAGAGCGCCAAATTGTGGCTTTTAATAGGTAGGCTTGTTCTGTACGCAGCCATGGTAAGGCCCCATGCTGATTGATGTATTTTAGAAGGTTGAAAGAAATTAGCATAAGTTCAACGTGACGTACCGAAAGGCCAGAACATAAGTATAGTCCCAGTCGGCTAATGGTACATGAAATTGATGTCCAAGCAAAACAAACAATCATGAACCTACTTTCTCAAGTCTGATAAGCTCGAGATATGGTCGTAAGGTCGTAGAGGCTAAATCAAGCGGGAATTTCGGAACCGAGTGTATGGCTGTATAGGATGGCAAGAGTGTCGTCTCGTCCTTGTCCGTGTGGCCCATGATAGTCGTTATAGGTCGTATAGAGAATAAGAAAATGCGGCTTGGTGAAAGTGGATACAGAGACAGAGTTTACGAGGATGATACGAGGATGAGGAAGCGCAATCGACCAGGACTTTATATGTTTCTATTCATCTCCACGTGCAGACGATGGGAGCCACCAAGCCATCTTAGTGAAAAGGGGGATCTGGATGTGATCTACAGACTATTGGCTGTCCTGATGGAACCAGCTGAGATCCTACACGTACCCACAAAAAGATGGAGTTCGGAAGCTTCTGCAATCTTAGCCGATGTGGTTAATCATCCTGAAATCCGGATTCTTAGAGGGCAAAGTCCACGCATCTGTCAGATCTGAATGGACCTTCAAAGCAGGGGTGGCTTTTAGAGTTACAATGTCCGTTTTGCATTGACTGTTCCTCGTATTGCAACAGCCACACACCGTGTTTGAAGCCAGTAAGCCGAAGACATAATAGACCATGTTCGGATAGAGCATTTCAATCCGAAATTCTGCAGCTACCACCATTGACAGTCATGAATCGAAACAAGACCCGATAGAGCTAGCACGCCAATTATACGTGCTTAGCCTCTTCATCTGCCTGGATATCAATTTGACGAACTCACATGTGCTGGTGAAAGGACAATGATCGGCCGAGCGACTCAAAGTATGAAAAGCGGCGGCGTCATTGGCCTTATTTTGCCATGTTAACATCTTTCGGTTGGAAAATGAAGTTCACACTGGCAGCAAGCTTTCACAAAGGTAGGAGCGAGACGTCTCTTTCTCCCGGGCTTAGCTGTAAGGCTTCGAGAACTGATATACTTGAAGAGAGGGAATGAATCAATTAGGCTAGGTATGCTCGTACATCGGGAGCTAATTTTTCGTTGATCTTTCGTTCTAAAAATACAGTCAAATACAGTCAATATTCAGATTCCACCTCATTGGCCATTAATAGCTTGAGCCCCCAGCCAACACAACGACCATTTATTGGTGCTTTCGCCGAGGGAGAGAGAGAGATCCAGTATTGTGGACCCCGAGTAGAACGACTGGGGTTCGAAGTCAAAAAGTAGTTGAGGGTAAATGGATGGTTCCAGGCAAGTTATTAATTTTTGTGTGACTTCCAAGCTCCTGAATGAAATCCTGCATTGAGTCTCTGGAACGGAGTTATTGCAGCCATAAGGGTCGGGGCAGATTGGGATCATCATGTTGTTTGATACGCGCAAGGCTTTCCTGCGAGGTTTAATTCCCCTCGTCCCCTCAGGCAATTTCCAACGGTGTCTGCTCAAGCGATGACTCCTGAGTACCACACAAAGAGAACGAAGGATGTAATAAACAGCGACCCGAGAATACAGTCTCACGATGATGTGGATCTGGTAAGATGCTTAACGCGGGGATTGCGCGTTTATTCCCGCGTCTTTCATGGAGTGGACACATCGTCGCGGCTGCGATCGCAGAAGACTGACTTTGACATTCATAATTTGTATTGACTCCGATATGTAGAGTCGAAAACTTGCGTGAAAGCTACAAGTTAGCCGACCGAATAAATTCAGGAGTGAACTTCAATTTACCCGGACGTTAAGTTTGTCCCAACTGCGCCTATGGGTGCAATGAAGAGAGGATTGATACCCATTTCAAAGCCCTGATTCCCAGGGATATGAATTTACGAAAGGAAGTCAACCCCGCATGCCGCGGATAAACAGGCAAGGCAGAGAGGATAGGAATAAGTATAACTGTTGTGCAATTTTCAGTCAAAAAAATTGTGAGAGTGCAATAATACCTGCCCGGTGATCTCGGGATATCGATCGATGCTATACGATCGACGAAGACCATCCCCTCTTGAATCGGAACTGTTGAGAATAGCGAAATCTCGGGGTTTGGATACTGATCCTATAGATTTCGGCTTCGAGGAGAGTAATTAGTGGCACAATCCGATCGTGTGCCATTGGTGAAGGCACCCCGTAATCCAGTTCACAAAGCTCCTCAGTTATAAGGACTATGGCTTCACGTTCCGCCGGCTTGGTAGTTGACGATGGGAAGGCCAAATTTCTTGCGCGAAGGAATGCAATTGCGGCGCTGCGAGTTTCTCGGTGTTACCGAGGTAGATTGAGGTCTCCGATTCCGTTCATATAAGGTATACGATCTCTATATAGCTTGTTCCTGTCCGTGTTCTCGCACTGTTGGTCGAGCGGGTTGAAGGTAAAAGGTAATGAGGTGATGATGGCGGTATCCCGAAATCTGCGGACTTGCGGTACCCTTCAGCGTCATTCTGGCTTTGAGTTGTAATTTTGATTGCCATGGGCGAAGCGCATGTGAGCCACTGGAAAGTCCCGATCTTCGGTATGACGAAGGGAGTGTACTGCCAATGCCGGCACGATGTGCGCGTGTTACAATCATACAAAAAATGATCCCTTGAAGCGTGGGGACTGAGTCAGTCAATCATGCCTGTTCTGAAAGTATGATAAACCTACAAACACAGGATTGGTCTACGAACATTGCGTGTGAGTGAGAAACGGTATGGAAAACGTTCATTCACCTACCATAGCCACGAGTGCGGATTGTACGTTGGATTCCATGACGTAAGTCATGAGTGAAATGACTACGCAGCAGCTATGTGTGATGGCCATCTGGAATTTTTCCAGGATGGCTTATGGGGAAACATACCTGTAAAGTGCTGCACTTTCGATAAGGATTTCCATATTCTTCTAAAATCCGGACGATCTCATTTAACATTTTCAGATTCAAATCGAAGTATGCG